AGGTTTTTTTCCTAAATGAAAAAAGTCGAAATTCTATGCAGCATGTTCTATACTGAGACAAGAACGTCCGCATTGTAGAATGTTTTCTTGATTTTCCAAGATATCCGATTTAAGATGTATTTTTGAATCTTGAAGCGGAGCGTTAGATGCACAAACATTAGCTCTTGATACCTCCACCTTTTTTGAACTCCAGAATTGAGCAGAACTCACGTTTTGATGGAATTCAGCGGATTTTTAAATTGCTGATTATGATTATTATATCCAATCTGAAGAGCAGAAGTCCGCTGCGACCACGGTAGTAAACGATAAAAAGGTGATTAGATGATTACAGATCTCTTCGTAAAGAAATACAAGGGAATTTTAATTGTTAATTATGGACACCAGGTCCATTCCGATCAGCAGATCCTGTTTGAGCTATGGAACTTACTGAGAATTTGCTTATAGGCTTTTTGGCTATATCTACTCAAGTGGTTATACTGTAAGGTCTTATAATATAAAATAGATGTGCTTTTCGTCTGATGTCTGTAAACAACTCCTCTTTTGGAGCAACCTATAATATTGACCACTAAATTGTCTTCTCATAGTTCGTACAATAAAGTCTCCTATAAAATTGGTATTTATTTATATTTAGCATGTCGAACAACCCTCAAAAATCAAGACAGCAAAACATGAGTTCTGGAACTCCGAAAAGAGGTGTCAAAGTTTTTTATTTCTTTGACTGAAGCCATATCTGAAACGATAGCAACGAATTCCTTATATAGTGAGAGTTTTTTTCTTAATCGAAATAACTGTCGCTACACTGTTTCTGTTTTTCATGTCTATCTGATTTTAAAAGAAAAACGAACTTATTCGACAACCCAATAAACCTTTTTTGAGCACTTTTAAGTCTGTTTGATCCTCCCTGTCTAGGGATCTATTCCTTTGGATTAGAACATTTTGGATGTAGAAATAATATCATGTATGGGGTTTAGGATGGGTTTGCAGTGAAATAAACAGAGAAAGCTATTGCTACAAGATCTATAACTTTTTTGAAAACTTGTATATCAATGCTGGCCAGCATCTAGTTGTAGTCTAACACTTATTTGTCAAGATCTTGCTGAATAACCCATCAAATTGTCCATTAAGATATGTCTGGTCTTTCTCCAACACTACAACATAGAACCGATTGGTATACCCTACGAGACGAGCCAGTACAAGTGGGCAGCTTTGACGAATCTGAAGTCTTTCTCTTTTAACCGAATTTCTTTTGCAGATCTATTCGGAAAAAGCGTCAACAAGTGAGTCTGGCTGGTGAAGAAAGCAGTATCGTGACCAGCACACTAACACATGACGATGGCGACAGTGATATCTCCGCTGATACTTCCGTCTTTCTTCAAATGGCAGTGGCAAAGAGAGAAGCACAACGACATCAGTCGCGACTTGAGAAGGTGTGAAATGATTAGTTTCATCAAAATAAGTTTTCATAAACATCCTCTTTTGAGAAGCAGGAAAAAAGTCTCTCAGAGAAGGTACCCGTTCTGGCTAAATCTGTTTCTCATTACAGCTCTATGGTGAGTTTTTTGTTAAGATAGGATTTCATTAGTGAGTCAACTTTGCTTTAGGCCCCTGTAGCTAATCGTCATGAGGGACACAACTGTATCGCCGATTCCTGCTCTGTTCAAGGCGATTCTGACGGTGCCTATTGTTTGAGCAACTTCTTAGCTGACTGTTTTGACTGTAAAAGAACTATCAGAACAGTTTTAGGAATGGAAATACATGTTACATGTGATTAGCACTTCGGGAATCCGTTATCGCGATACGGGGATCCATGTATTGAGCAGCCCTATTTAAACTTTCCAAAATCCAAGTTCTTTTTTAACTGTAGCTCAGAGGATTCCTAAACATTAATAATTGTTAGTAATGCTTAAATCACCTTCAGCACTTTTGTTACCTATCTCAAAATTCTCATTGCTGGAAACTCGCGAAGTTTTGTAACATGGCGATTTAGGTCCCAGTTAAGTTTGCTGTGGAGGGGGGAGGGAGAGGGGGGGTTTCAAAATGCTGCAGAGAATATAATCCAAAAGCATACGCGTTATCAAAGACTGTCCCAATTCATTTATTTATTTATTTATGAAAGTTCATCGTTGAAAAGTAGAGTAGTAAAAGTGCTTGTAAAAGAATAAATGCCCTTGTTACAAGGCACTTTTCGGAAATTTCAATAATAGTGGTGAACTGGCAGAACATTTATGCAACGATTAGCGGATAGATGTTTTTTTGTTCCTTCCCATATTTCATTCGATCAGGAAAGCTTTAGACTCCCAAAAAACATCCACGACAGCTAGAATAATAACAGTAAATGCAATTGTGCTTAATTTGAATTTTTACTCGACCTCGTGCTCGCCAAGCTTATCAAGAAGCATAGCGCATGGAAGATGTCCA